TCTAGCATTCGCATACAAAGGAAAGGTGTACAATATGACTTGCCTGCCGTTCGGACTAGCAACAGCTCCTCAATTGTTTGCGAGTCTCACAAACTGGGTTGCCAGTTATCTGAGAAGCCGAGGTATGAGAATTTTAGTATATCTCGACGATTTTTTCCTCGCAAATCAAAACCCGCACCTACTACAGAAACAAGGAGAGGAGACTGTAAGTTTATTACAATTTCTAGGATGGAAAATAAATTTCGACAAATCTCAGCTGATTCCGAAATATCAACTGGAATTCCTTGGAGTGATCTGGAATCCGACCGAAAATATGAAATTTATTTCAGAGAGAAAGATAAAGAAGTTGGAGAGTTCGATTCAGAATATTATGACGACAGGGATGTGGAATTGGGAAAGTGCGAAATCCCTGTTGGGAGAGCTGAATTTTGTAGCCTTCGTAGTGCCTTTGGGTCGTCTACACTGTCGAAGAATACAGAGAGAGAGTCATCGATTACCAGAAGCATTTCCTCGAAGGTTATACAGAGTGAGAGAACGAATTATTCAAGATCTCAAGTGGTGGCAACTTTCAATTCACTACAAGACTCCAATATTCCGTCAAAATCCACAAATTTTCATAACAACAGACGCATCGAATATAGGATGGGGTGCTCATCTGAACAGTATTCACCAGAAAGGTCAGTGGCTGACATGTCAGAAAGGATGGCATATAAATGTAAAGGAAATGTTTGCAGTCCAGATGACGATACAGAAAAATCTCAGCATATTAAAAAGCAAGAGTATATTAGTTCAATCAGACAACAAGACTGTAGTGTCATACATCAACAAAGAAGGAGGAACGAAATCTTTAGCTCTACTACAGCAAACCGAAGTATTGTTGAAGATGATCCAGCAGAACAACATGAGTCTGGAAGCCAGATACATTCCGGGAATTTACAACTCAATGGCAGACAGTCTCTCTCGAAACAATGCCCTACCCGACTGGCACCTTTCGGAGAAAGTCACGAAGAAAATTTTCAGAATGTGGGGCACTCCGAAAATAGATTTATTTGCTACCAGCCAATCAGCAGTTGTTCCGGATTTTGCGGCTCAATCGACCCAAGAAAAGAAAGCATTGTTTGTAGATGCTTTCAGTCAAGAGTGGAATTACAGCCTGGCGTGGATTTTTCCACCGCCACCACTGATACCGAGAGTATTACAACATCTGAACAGGGCCAGAGGAGTTTATATAATCATAGCTCCAAGATGGCTGAAAGTTTTCTGGAGACCAGACCTCAAATCACGAGCGATCAATTCACCTTATCCTATTCGCAATCTAGGGAACAACCTGATAGACTTGCGGTCGGGTCGTCCACCTCCTCAAGTCAATCAGCTTTGTTTGGAGGCCTGGAGAATTCGGGGTGGATTAATCTGATAGGCGGTTGGGCTATAGAAGACCGAAAGTTATTGCAATCTGCTTGGCGAGAATCCACTTTGAAATCTTACAGAGCACCTTGGAAAAGATGGGTTAATTGGTCGAAAGAAAGAGATATTTCTGTACATGATCCAAATCCTCAAGATGTTGCAATGTATTTGAGTCATTTACATAGATTTGAGTCTTTGTCATATAGTACAATACTAGTTCACAAGTCTGTAATAGCAACTTTTGCTAATCCATTGAAAGGTTCAAATTTGAGCACACATCCAGTTGTCAAACAGATTTTGAAAGCCATATGTATCCAAAAACCCAAACAGATAAAATCTATTTGGGATGTTGACATATTAGTAGAGTGGTTATCAAAACATTCTCCTAGTTTGACTAGTTTTTTCCAGGTATCTGGGCATGTTGCCACTTTATTATTATTATATTCGGGTAGAAGAGTTCATGACTTAACATTGTTAGATTTAAGTAAGGATCATTTTCAATGTGAAAATGATTACATAATTTTCTGGCCACTTTTTGGCTCCAAAACTGATAAAGATAATTATCAACAATCTGGATGGAAAATCAAGAGACACAAAAATAAGAATTTAGATGTGATTTTTTGGATTAACAAATTAATTGATCTCGCTACAATTAGAAAGGGTTCTCTGAATATTAGTTCTCTATTCATCACAACTAGAGGTAGGGTTAGACCTGCTTCTAGGTCAGTGATAGCAGGATGGATCAAGACATATAGTCTCAAATCTGCGGGTATTAAAGCCCCAGCTGGTAGCTGCAGATCAGCTGTAGCATCCTCACGATTTTCTAACGATACGCCTATAGACCTTATATTGAAACAGGCAAACTGGAAAAATAGTAAGACCTTTTTCAAACATTATTGCAGGAAAATTGATAGAAGTAGTTCTGGTATTAGAAATATTCATAATGACTGCTCAGATTATTTTGAAGCGGTTGATGGATGACCTGTTTTGTGAACGTTTATTGATGATTGATGATGATATTATATTTCTAAAAATGTATAGAGGTAAATCTACTTCTTATTGTTGGTATGATACCATGCATCTTTGGTTCATAGCATATTATATGGTTTTGTATGTTAATAAGTAATCAGTTGTTATTCTTTCAAATAAAGCATTGCTTATGGATTTTGGGTTGTTAAATGATTATTATATCATTAGTTTTACCTGATATTAAATTTTCACAGTACGCTTTCATATTAGCCGGCAGAAATCAAACACTTCTCAGATGGGTCAAGCGGAAGCACAGACACGAAATAGAAGAGTTTTTCCCCCGAAGGGATAAAAACTATTATTTCGAGTCTTGCTGAAGCTTGACCCATAGATTGAAGACCTTGCCGACTTCATCTTTTAAAAGTACTGAGAATGCATATGCACTAGCCGGCCAAGATCAAGAAATGTGACAGATGATTGTCACCTGCATTGCCATAAAAGAGGAAGATTGGACAAAATACACACTGCTACACAAGGAAAGCAAAAGGGTAATCTCAGATGGGTCAAGCTTCAGCAAGACTCGAAATAATAGTTTTTATCCCTTCGGGGGAAAAACTCTTCTATTTTGGAAAGGAATATCCTCAGATATATTACATCATATACATCATATACATCATATTACATCGTATGAATATCAATTCCCATAAACAGAGGGCCGTTTCAGATTTTATTGTATGCCGGCGGGTTATCTTACGTGTATGAACCTGTCGAATTTTCGATTTTTCTCAAATGAGGAATATTTAGTAGATAAATAATTTAAATACAAAAAGACCAGGAAATAACATTGCCATACTGATTTGCCGGCATGGCCATATGCGTTCAAACATGGAACTATTCTCATAAATGATTTGATAAAATATGGGGTTTGATCGACCCCTTATAAACTATGAAAATCGAATTGCCATACTGATAAAAACGGGATGAACATACCAAACAGAGTTTGATCATAAAGTTTAAGTATATATTTTACACCAGGTATCTTAAATAAGCCTCTAACAGAAACCAGAAATTAGTATTGTTAATATCAAACTTGGTGAAAAGATTATATCAGCATACTGACTCAAAGTTCTAAGAACTCACTTGCTCTGTTCTTAGCGGTTCAATGTCTATAATCTGAAGCAAAAGGCTTTAGTCGATCTGCAACAGCTTGTGTCCGTATTTTAATACTGTTTGTTCAAGTTGTCATGTTGTCAAACTTCTGAATATGTCATCTATACGTGTTTTGTGCTTGCACATCTGGGCAGTATGAATTTGATTTGTTCATTGAATGTGAATTATTTGAATCCACATTATTTACATTCAAATTCTTTGGTGAAAATCTCCTTCAACTTCAAATCATACTGTCTCAATATAAAATGGTTGGGGTTCCAGAAAATTAACATTATAGTCCCTCAGATGGAACGTTTTTCGAAATAGACGAGACAGAGAAGCGAACATTAGGCAGGGAAAAAACTAGGAATCTGTGAGTCTGAGACCAAAGTATGGCTCAAGACTACATGTTTCTTCGAAAAATGCCGAAGAACAAATAATGTTCAGCAGTGTAGTAATGAGTTACTGTGAAGTTATTTGGCGAAAATGTGTTTTTTTTTAATAATTATTGCATTCAATGTCTAATTGAAGTTAGAAAACTTTGCATTTCGCCTATTCAAAACAAGAAATGCAACACTTCCCTGTATGACTATCACAATATTGTGACATAATGCATTCTAATGTCCTTAGTGTACTCACAAAATTTCAGGACCAGTTGCATGTATTTGGCAGACGATTGAATATTTGAATTGTTTATATTCGAGGCAACGTGTGCCTCAGCTGATGAGTTGTAGATTGTTGATGGGTCGTATAGGCTGGGAGACCTCTCGATCACTGCGAACTAGAAGATCTATTGTGATTACCCCTATCTAGTTTTGGTCCTCTAACCCTAGACTTCTGATGAAGCCTACGATTTTCCTGACGGTTGAATTTTCCACTTCAGCAGGGGTGAGATAGACCTGTTCTAGGTGGTTCAGCCTTTCGCGGACTAATACTTCACATGAGCAAAGTATGTGTTCCGCGATTTCGGTCGCATTGTTACAAAAGCGGCAAGTGTCAGTCTCCGCCAGGCCCATCTTTTTGAGGTGGTACCTCAGAGGGTCGTGTTTTGTGAGAAAGCCTGTGATAAGCTCTAGCTCTGGTTTGCTTAGGCTGAGTAGCTCTTTGGCTCGGTTCTGCGAATGGTTGATGAACCTTTTCGCTTGTCGTTGACCTGGAGTTGCTTTCCAGTAGAAGGACTTTTCAATTTCTTCCCATTTCCTGAGTTCACCCTTTAGGTGACATTTGCTTATCCCACATAAAGGCTCAGGACCAAAAAGTGCAGACAGCTGATGAGTTAGAGGACTTGATTCCTTGTTAAGTTAAAGATATCAACAATATTGAGCTATTCAAGATTTCCGTTGAAATTAGTTATCTTCAACGCCACATATTTCAATAACGAACCGTTTAGGGCATATGTTAATGGAAAGAAATATCAGTTCATCGAGTTTCATCATTTCCTAGATTATTAGTCAATTTAACTAGATGTGAATAAATACCTCTATGAGTAACATTTTGTGGACCTTGTTCCATCACAGCCATATCTTGCCTCAGGTTGAAAGGTTGATTGGGACTATTATTGTATATCCTTTTGTAATGATTGTATACTGCTACTGATAACACCTGGAATGAAAAATTATTGATAGATACCTGATGTTAAATTACAGACCAAGAATTCATTTTGATTCTGATACATTGAAAAATATTAAAATTTTTAGTCTTCATGGTGGGAACTTTATCCTGGAATCCTACATTCAATGATCACACCATATTTGCTACAATTGGTGAACTGGTACGAATAATTTGAGTACGATGGGTTATAGCAGTACATGTGAAAATTGATTATGAATATGACTATCAGCTCATATTCCTCCCTCCTACAGGTATTCATGGAGGGCATAGATACCAACATTTACAAAATGCCTTAGAAGATGTTGCCTCCACAAGCAGTCACAATGTTATCGATATTGTTATTTCGCCAAATGCAGATCCACAGACAGATGAAGAAGAGTTCGATGACAATTATACCCAAAAGAACCATATTTTATGCCTGATGATGTTTCTGGTGGAATTGAACTTCTGCACATATGCAGCGATGATGAAACCAGCGACGAAGGATACGATTTGCCTCCATCAGTTTTGCGTCAAAAGCTTACATCTTCCACAACCAAACGTCCTAAAAAGAGATTACTGTTGGACTGGAACCAAAGTGGACTGGTGACCATGTGGAAACCATGCCAGCAACGTTGGAATATGCAGATCGCCTTGATATCGTTAAAAATTAATTAGAAAATCTAGAACCTAGCAGTCTATGATTAACTGTTCGAAGATGAAGTATTCAATCTCTTACAGTACATCAAACCAATTTATATTCATCTCAGAAGAATTAACATGCCTTCTTTGTTTCGAAGGCTGATATGAAACTTTTTGTAGGAATTCTCCTCCTCACAGGATGATACAAATTGCCGAGTGAACGGAATCACTGGAGCCTCAATGAAGATTCAGGTATGTATAACAGGTTTCAAGAAATCAAGAAATACGTTCATCTGGCAGACAATAATAATTTAGATGGGAATGACAAGATGGCTAAATCACGCCCTCTGATATCTCTCCTCAAAGATATAGGCAGTGGGGCATTTTTGATGAAAATCTTCCGATAGACGAAGCCATGGTGATGTTCTTCGGTCGCCATTTCAGTAAGCAGTATATCAAGGGCAAGCCATTTCGTTTCGGATACAAAAACTGGACGCTCTGTAGCTCTTGGGTATAGCTACTGATTTGATACCTGTTGTGGTGCCAAGAACTAGTCGCAATCTGCTGGAACTACTGATTTGCTTTTGGGTTTTAAAGTAGTCTTTGATCTGAAATCAGTCGCGATACCTTCTGATCATGTGGTCTTCTTTGACAATCATTTCAGCAGTCACGCATTGCTGAAAAAACTGAAAGATCAGGGTCAACGGACTACAAGTACAGTTAGGGACAACATAACTAGAAAATATCCACTGTCGAATGTGTAAATATCCAAGAAAAAAAAAGGGGGCTACTATGAGTACATGTATGACAGAGATTCAGCGCACTTCTATTCATCAGATGGCAGGACAATAATACAGTGACCATGGTTACAAACTATGATACACCAAAACCTATTGGTCAGGTAAAACGCTGGTCGGCAAGCAAAAATTGATATACCACTACCTAGCATTTTCTCAACTATCAAGCAGTTGATAATCACAGGATTTCCATACGCGGTAAAAAGTGGTGGTGGGTGCTTTTCACCAAGATGATAAATATGACAGTAGTCAATGGTTGGAGACTGTTTCAAGTTGCTAATAACGAATCTATGGGCCTACTAGAATTTGAGAGAATGATAGTCTGCCATTACTTATCTCGACACGAGAAGTCCACTTACACAAAACTCAGACCAATTAGTCAGGAACCAATGAGTGTCAGGATGGAAGGAGCTGGTCATTTTCCACAAAAGATGGACAATCAGTTGAGATATACTCGATGTCATCAAAGGGGCATTGCATTGAGCGGGACTGTTTCAGGACTTACCACACCTAAAACTGTGTGTTATTTTTTTGTGTTATGTAATATTCGTTTTTTTTCTTCGGACTAAAGTATTTTTCAGTGATTTCACTCTTTCAGTAGTCAGACTTCCCATTGTACCCATTCCAGCACATGCATTTTTTGCATTAATTGTGCGATGACAGTTACATTTACAATTTTGTTCCAAATAATGTTATGACAATGAATTACAAGAATATTCACATTTTTTCAATTAGAAATCTCTTGGGATCCAATGGGTTAATTCGGACAAATATTAGGTCCATGCCCCTATCCGAAAGCTGATCGATGTTTGTGCTTCGACTTGTCTTCAAGTCAAACAGTGTACAGGGTGGGCCAGATTAGACACTTTTAAAGGGTAAGTCCTATTCTCGAACCAGGAGGAGGAAAATTGATGTCGGTGCCTGGGGGTCTATTCTTATGAAAAACTCAATGGGCATTTTGAAAAGTGGCTACAGATTTTTTTTTTGGCAAAAATTGTCCGTTCTTATGACAATAACTACGAGGCCTTGGGTAAAAGATATAAATTGTTCTCGAGGCACTGAAATTTAGTTCAGAAATATAACTTGTTCTTCTTGAAAGAAAGTTTTATTTTGCAACTAGGTAAACGGTGACTGATTTCAGTGCCTGAGGATCAATTTTCATGGCAAACACAATGCTTTGAAAATGTTTCCATAAAAACGAAGAATCCTTGACAAAAAAAATCTTTAGTCCCTTTTCAAAAATTCACATTTTTTTAAAACACCCTGCAACTCTGAAATAAAGACAGATATCGGTATGCGGTTTTCACCTTTGAGTTTGTCATGTAAATTGATCAACAGGCACCGACATCAGTGTTTTCCTATCTTGTACAGGAATAGGATTTTCCCTTTAGAAGTGCCCAATTTGGCCCACCCTGTACAGGCTGTCCCATTTTCGATGTCCTCACGGGATATCTCACTTATTTTCAAAGATTTGCGGTTTTCGCGAAAATTGGCTACTTCTTTGTGAAACTCACGACATGAGTATGATGTCTTACAAAGAGACCAATGTGAAATTTCCAGAAACAATAGGATGGGTCCTCGATGATGGCAAGCAAGTGCTTCTAAATAAAGCTAGCAATGTTTTTAGCGGCAAACTGCCCTCACATATCTGATGGGGTTTGCCGAAGATTATTGTAGAGGTACTTTGAATATCAAGCATGAGCTAATATTCATCATAGCTCGCTCATTCAAGAACTCATATATTGAAGAAGTGGACGCCGATGTAGAGATTAACAAAATTGAGTGGAAGATAACACATGTGATGCCGTCTGATAAGCAGAGATTGAAGCTATTGACTCGTTTGAATAGAAGTTCTACGGCAATTGCATACAGGATGTGGGATCTTTAGAGTAACCAACTATTAGTAAAACAGCATCTGACATTTGGGCCGTTAAAACTACCAATAGCCTCGAGAGGCCTCGATATATATCATCATAGGCTTCCAAAACACTGATAACACTGATAATAGATCTAAGGATATCACACAATTCACCCATGCAGGAGTGGACAATGTTCGTCTGTAATTGAATTCTGAAGTTTATCCATACAAGCGATGGAATTTGGATATTGTTAAGAAATTAGATGCAGTAGCCTATTATGCATATGAAAACTTCCAACGCAGTTACTACGGCAAAGAGATGAGCGAACCAATGATGACCATCGAGGAATTTCGAAAAAACCCGATTCTCATCATTGACTGCAACCACTGTCGACATCAAGTTGGAATGTGAAACACGAAAAACGAAGTTTCCATCGCACACCAAGGTGTTCGCACTGATTCTTCATGATGCATATTCAACTTATAGTGCACCATATTCCTACAATCATTCATGTTACATGTAATTAATTAATAACGATAATTTCAAGATCGATTCATATAATATTAGTTATTGTTCTAGAAGCTGATGTTATTATACTGAATAAAACGAATATTTTGTTTGTGTTACTGATTTTTTTGAGCCAATTTGTACACTCCACCCTGAATTATAAACAAGTTGCTCGTCAACCTGTTACTATTTGCTTGTTAGAATAATGATTTTGCCAATGAGGGGAATTTTCATTTTTTTCAAGTTGTTAATTGATAATTTCATGTACATTCTGAATTATTGTTGATAAAAATTGAACAATGTCATAATTTCTTGAAACTCTTGTATCTTCTCTTAGAGATAAGATATTTGACGTGAATTAAAAACCATTGTGTTAGTAAGGAAATCACACTTCAATCCAGAACATATTGAAGCTGAGTTAAGCTGCTCACTTTCTCTACAGGGTTAAGAATTAGACGGTAAAAAATTAATTTTTGTTTTTCCCTGTATAATGATCAAGCCACCGGGAAATTACACATGCCCAGGTTATTTATTTTAGACCCATTGTAATTTAAGTCTCATGTGTGATTTTTGTGAATTAGCATTTGGAATTTTGTTGAATAAATGTTGAGGTATTATACTGGCCTGTGCTCCAGTGTCCAACTTGAATTTCAGGAACACCTTTGGACTTTCACAAACTTGTAGTGTTTCACACCAATCTTCTTCCTGTGAAATCTGCCTTATATTTACTGTTCCAATAAAGATGGCTTCTTCTTCATCAGTATCTTCATTTTGTTGACTTTCCTCTTGTACTTGTTTGATCTGTTTAAATCTGCACATACTGCTATAATGATTTTTGTTTTTGCATTTATGACAGTCAACTCCATATGCAGGACACTCATTTATATTGTGATCTCTTCCACAGCGGTAGGAATTTTTTATTGTTTTGGTTTTCCCCTCCTGATTTCTGTTCGAGCTTTTCCTTTGTGGTAACCTTTTCCCTTTACTTTGTGTTGGTTCAGTCTCCACAAATTCATTTATTTTATTTACTTGAACTTCTTCTGTTTAACTCTTCATCTGAGATTTCATTGATAAAGAAGATCTGCAGATGTCAATACATTTATTCAAGTTCAACTTATGTTCACTGAGTAATTTTTCTCTAATCTGGTTACCTTCAATACCACAGACTATCCTGTCTTTGATCAGAGACTCTTTTAATTTATCGAAT